GGCGCAGATAACCTTCGTGTAGCTTTGCACAAAATTAAAAAAACAATCAAAACGTATACTGTTCAAATACGAAATATAGACATCTGTGGTTTTAAATAATGTCGAACTCGATATTAGTTTTAAGTAATATACTCACGATTGTAAGGCCAAAGAATAATCGTGGTTTCTCTAATGATGTTCTAATGGTTTCTCTAATGATGTTCTAATGGCGATATGGTGTAAGACGTGCTTACAGCTCCTTCTCAGTTGCACTTTGAAATATAAATATGAGTTATTGATATATATACAGTGAGCTCATAACCTGCATAAAAGTGATGATAGTTTTAATATATTTACCATCAAACCGCCTTGCTTTAAGTGATGAATGAAGGAAGATGTGTTATCGAAATATATTTCTAATGCATCAGTAACAAGAAGAGGCCTATTGAAGAAACGTTTATTCTGTATTGCATTAATGGAAATATTATAATAATAAAATAAATAAAGTCAGTACATTATTGTCTCTTGACAAAAACTCTCGTTTCGTATGTGAGGATCCGTCAGTATTACTACCTATAATAATTAGCTCAATTGGAATGTAACTGAATGTCGAACCAGATTTTTTTAACAGAGCGGGAAAACGACAGTGTATCCAAACTCCGGGCAGAACGATATGCCTCTTACACAGTTAAAACTTAATGCGCTATCTTAATATAAAATTTATATTTGACCATGTTTTGCAATTTGTTGGTTCTGTTTGAACAAATCATTTTAGATGTACTTTAAAGAAATTAAACTCCAGACAAGAAATCGAAATTCCTCACGAAAAATCTATTTTGTGAACCCTCCTGAACTTCTTAATGACGTTTCGTTGTTGAACCAGTTTTCGTCTAGAATAGCCAATGAAAATCTATTTTGTGAACCTTGCTGCACTTCATATTGATGTTTTTTTTTGTTGAATCAGTTTTCGTCTAGAATGGCCCGGCATGGCCAGGTGGTTAGGGCGCTCGACTTACAATCTGAGGGTCGCGGGTTCGAATCCCCGTCACACCAAACATGCTCGCCCTTTCAGCCGTGGGAGCGTTATAATGTGATGGTTAATCCCACTATTCGTTGGTAAAAGAGTAGCCCAAGAGTTGGCGGTGGGTGGTGATGACTAGCTGCCTTCCTTCTAGTCTTACACTGCTAAATTAGGGACGGCTAGCGCAGATAGCCCTCGTGTAGCTTTGCGCGAAATTCAAAAACAAACAAATCATCTAGAATATACAAAAGTTGAATGATTATCATCAGTATGTAAACATATAGGGTTTCCTGATTCATTTTGATAAATTGGGCCTCAGAAGCCAGCGTGGAAATTTAGTTTCCTTGTTGTCATCGGTAGTATCTCTTATCTCATCGCTGTTTAGGTTATTAATGGGGACAACAGTATGAGTCAGCTAGTTGTATGTTGAAATTGTA